AGTGTGGAAAAATCTTGGGATAATTTCAAGATGTTGTTTCTACTTAACCACAAGTAAATTGTTTGGTCGTATGGGTAAGTATTAAGGGTCCTTTGAATCAGAGGTGAATAGTTTAAAGTATATAATTGTGTGAGGTCTGGTGGGATGCTAATTTGTATATATTTGCGAGCGTAAGGGCAATGTTTGAGGGGGAAGTTTTGCAGAGGGGCAGTGGCTTAGGAAAGGGAGAGAAAAATACTCAGGATTTCCAGCTTGGAATAGTTAACTTTGAAATTGCCGTATATGCCAAATTGTTTAAATTCTCGTATTATTGAGGACGTGGATATTTGGGGGTCTGTTAAATACATTACAAAGTCATCTGCGAATATAAAGAGCTTAATATGTTGAAGGCCTACCCTGATACTGAAAATGGAGGGGTTATTATATAGGGCATTGGCTAGGTGTTTCGTCGCCAGCAGATATAAAAGAGGAAAAATAGGGCAACCCTATTGGGCGCCATTCCGGCATATGATGTAGAGAGAAGAGCCAAGATTTTGTGGAGAAGGTTGGGACCTAGTTCCGAGCAGACTTAATATTTTTGAGAAACCGCCAACTGTCCCACGCAAATGCCTTCTCTTCGTTTCCAGAGTGAAGGCAAAGTAATGACTTTGAGGTCTGGGCATGGTTGACAAGTAAGAGGGCTTTCAGACTATTGTTCCCAGGCTTCTCAACCTTACAGGATGCCCACCTGGTCTGTGTAGATCTGCTGTGAGAGAGGGGTTGTAACCGGATTTAATTATCATGGCACAGAGAGAAGTCAACTCCACAAGAGAGATTGGTAATTAGAACAGAGAAGTAGGTCTATGTCAGTGCAACATGGGCCTCAAGAGTTTGGGATGGAAAAAGGGGTGTTTTCTGTAATAGAGTTGAAGACATTCAGTAAGAAAGAAGAGAGATATTACTTATAGATTTTATAAAGTTTAGGAGTAACTCCATCCAGGCAAAAACTCTTTTCAGTGTGAGTGAATCTGATGGTTGCTGATGAAGTTCCTTCTCAGTAAATAAGAGTTACAAGAGCCTCACCAGTAGATTTGTCTATGATGGGGAGTGCTGTCTTTTCCACATATTGCCCAGTGTCTTCACCAAGACAATTGGTCACACAGTCTCTAAGGGGGAAGGGAGATTGTATAGGGAAGAAAAAAAAAAATCTTTACATATGCCAAGGAAAAGTGGTGAAGAGGAGATGAGTTCTCCTCTAGGGGTTTTAATGGCGGGAATAGAGGTTTGTTTCTTAAGGGTGTGTCACGCATGTGATAGTCTACATTTGTCACCATGGCAGTATCTACCCAAATACATCTTCTCCTGGCAATGCTTGTGAGCTAGATTGTAAAGAGAAGCTCTAGTGATGGAGACCACTGCCAAAACGTCAGGTGGTATGGAGGATTTTTGTTGAGAAATCCAGAATATTAAGTTTGTGGAAGGTATCAAAGATAACTTTTGAACATTCTTTAAGCCCAGCATGGTGCTAGAAAACAAAAACCCCTTGCAGCACAGCTTTCAGGGTTCCCCACTGAAGTTGTAGAGATATGTTGTCGCATTTGTGGCCTGAGAAAAAGTTACGAATAGTGTTCATGATTGCAGGGTGGCAGGCAGGGTCTGTTAAGAGTATTGATTAGACGCCATGTCCAGTCAGACTGAGAAACTTGAAGTAATTCAAGCGTGAAGAAAAAAATCAGAATAGTCGGACCACACTACGGATCCAATTTCTGTCACTGGTTTCCACTCTTGGACATGGTGGCTAGAGAAGTAGTCTGTACAATTGTATGACTGATGAATGGAGGAGAAATGTGAAGCTTATATCTTGGTGGTGTAGTATCTGCCACGGGTCTACTAGCCGGTGTTCAAATAATCGTTTCTTGAAAGAATTCAATTGGCTACAGAACACGTTTGAGAAGGGTGTGGGGCAGGAGAACAAAGTTAAAACCCCCTCCTGCTAAAACAAGTTAATAAAGCATTTTTTTTGTTATAAGAACAATGTTTTATTAAGATGTCTGCCACAATCAAACAATTGTAAATACCATAATACAAAGACAATGAAAATACAGTCAAGTACAAAAGACGTCCGTAAAAATCTAAGTAATTCTCATTATTCACAGTAACATCAACTTTTTCCCAGCTGGTTTGAGCTTGAACATCCACTTGAGTAGCTGCTATAAACCACGAAGCAGGCACCCAACTGGGTTCAGCCTGACAGTAGAAGGAAAATAGTGCAAAGAAATGGGAAAGTCACAAAATTTAGAGAGCTACCAAGCATTTTAGCTGCTAATTAGAGGAGACCTGATATTTGATAACACCTGAGCATATTGATGAATATTGCATGCATAGTGGGGCCCTTTCCTGTTGTATTAGCTGAAGAACACAAGCCATACACACGTTTCATAGACTAGCCACACCTATGTAGAAATTCACAGCCTACGTAAAAGTGTGGTGGATATTGTCAGTTTACAGATCTCAGGTAAGCATAAGATGGAGTTTACCAACATAAAGGTGAATAATTAACAGGTTTGTAAATGCCACCCTGAAACTTGCATCTCGGTTTTCTAAACTCCTTCTGCTGTGTTCAGCTCTGGAAGTGTGTCAGTCAGAAGTGTGAAACATCCTTCAGCTGCTCACACCTGTACAGATGGGCTTTTGTTCGCCTCAGGTGGGTTTCGCATTCTCATGCAAGTCTACTGGAGTGCAAAAGCCACTTAAAGAATATTGGTTAAATAAAAGTCAGAAGAAGAATCGACTGCAGGTGAAATGCACCTGTTAATGAATGATCTCAGAAACATCTCAAACCGATGTCAAACTGATAACAGACAGGACCAAAACCTGTTGATACAGGTCCTTCGACTGTCTTTGACATGCCCTATGGGTGCAAATCACAACAGCTGTGTCTTATGTGGTGCACACAACTTTCATACAGCCAGTTTCATCCAGATGATATAGTTCCCACAGATCCAGTGCACAGTGTACTGCACGTTGCTGTAATGCCCTCTATTAGAGATGAGCTTAAGAGACCTCCAAACTCTTCTCTACCTAAATAATAAAATTGTGCTTTTTTGACAATCAGCTGTAGGCCAGGTCATTCCCCTTCCTGCAGCACATGTAAGCAGAGGGGCAGGATGCCGATGATGTTCGTGCCCATTTATGAGCACATTCCCATATTTTGCCAATGGCTTAACATGGGCATGTATCCATATAAGAGCATGGACATCATTAGCATCCTGCCTCTTTGTTTATGTGTGCTGCAGGGAGAGGAATGACACAGCCTGCAGCTGGCTGGGTTAGGAAAAAAAAACAAAAAAAAAAGTGCAATTTGATAGTTTGGATAGAGTTGAGTTTGGAGGATGGCCAAGCTAAACTCTCTGTGTGAATACAATGTTTCTCAGTGAAAACAATAGTGTCATGTATTATTTACTTTTACAGGAGTGGTAAAGAGTATGCAAGGGGTGCCTAGACTAATGTGCTATTCTGTGTAGCAGGAGATAGTCTAAAAACACATGGAGGATGGAGGTATAAAACATAGTATCAGGAAGACTGGGCGCATGGCCTGAAGATCTGCAAGTCCACTTATTGCAGCCCATCTATGTGCGTCCCTGTCCAGCCCCGATGCCAACTGCCTTATTTAAAGCACAGCACAATTGAAGAGAATTATCGAGTGGCTGTCAGCTCTTATGAAGCTGTGTTCTGCTATCCTGTATTTGACCTGGCTTGCCTCATGATCTCTGTATCCAGAGCTACTGCTGATGACCTTAGGCATACTATATATATATATATATATATATATATATATATATATATATATATATATATATATACACACACACATACATAGTATATATACACACAAACCTATACACACACTGTATATGTATATATATATATATATACATATATATATATACAATATATATATATATATATATATATACATACATATACATATACACATACATATTTACACACAACACACATATACACACACACACACACACACACACACACACACCCTCAAAAAATTAAAAGGAACAATTTCTAAATCAGATTGTAGTATCAGTTAAGTAGCAGAGAGGGTTGTTAATCAGTTTCAGCTACTTTGGTGTTAATGAAATTAACAACGGGTGCACTAGATAGGAAACAATGAGACGATTCCCAAAACAGGAATGATTTTACAGGTGGAGGCCACTGACTTTTTTTTCCCTACTCATCTTTTCTGACTGTTTTTCACTAGTTTTGCATTTGGCTAGGGTCAGTGTCACTACTGGTAGCATGAGGCGATACCTGGACCCTACAGGGGTTGCACAGGCAGTCCAACTCCTCCAGGATGGCAAATCAATGCTTGCCATTGCCGAAACGTTTGCTGTGTCTCCCAGCACAGTCTCAAACACAATTTTTCAGGAACAAATACACAAAAATAAATTTTAGTGCACACAAACACAATATAAATACAAATTTTTTGGTAAAACATCAAAGTTGGGGTTGTGTTGCCTAATTAGATCTCAATCATGTCAAGCCTCAAAATGTGACAGTGAAACACAAAAAACAATGGTGTCCAAAATTGTCCATATGTAAATCTTTTACAGGTTATAAATTTAGATTTAATAATTCTAGCCAGAGAATTATTGTTTTCATGCCGACGTTCACGGCAATATCCACATGTAATACAGCTGCTGTTTACAGGAATGTGCATATCTGCATTTGTGTTTTTGCTAGAGGCGACAGGGGGTGCTTCACAGCTGCAAGCTTGTTTTAACCACTTTAAGACCACGCCGTTTACATATGGACCATGGGTAATAAGTGGTTAAAGGGATAAAACATTTGGAAATGTGTATGTATTGTGTATGTATTGCAGAAATGTACTGACTTCTTTATTTTACACTTTAGTTTATCATTTATTCTCCCCTGACAATATACTAAGAAGGGGCCACATACTTCATGGCAACTTTGTAATAAAAAATATATGTTTTTAAAAACACTCGAACCTGAATGGTGGTCATCACCCCGTTGGCCAGTACGGAAAGCCTCCCCGCTACCGATTTCACACCTTGTTTGAAATTCGCCATATCCGGGGCAGAAGGTAGAACATTTGACAGGCTGTAATTTGCTGAAGGAAAACAAAAAAAAAAATTCTTACAAACAATTCTACATACACAAAATTGAACTGAACCAATCTGTTTAACATTACACTGACCAAAGCTAATAACTAGGACAGTGCAAAAGAAAAAGGGGGCGTAGACTTAAAGCGGAATTCCACCCAAAAGGGAAAGTTCGCCTTTAATGCTTTGTCCCCCACTCCCCATTAAGGATTGGCACCTTTAGGGACCGGGTACCCGAATTTGACAGGTACCTGCTCCCACTTCCACTGCAATCGCCTAGGCAATCGGAAGCAAAGGTTGTCCTCCCTCTCCATAGTCTTCTGGGACACGTGACAGGTCCCAGAAGACTACGGGGCCCATTCACAAAGTTCAGCGCTTTTCAAGCATGTGCAGTGGGCACCCAGCTGTGAAGCCGCAAGCTGTCACAGCCGGGTGTCCACACTAAAGATGCTGGAGCCGGGTAGAGAACACGGCCGGTGAAACCAGCACTGGTTAGGACAACACTGGACCAAGGGACAGGTAAGTGGCTGTATTTTAAAAGTCAGCAGCTACAGTTTTTGCAGCTGCTGATTTTTTTTTTTCTTCAGCTGGAACTCAGCTTTAAACTGGGTATACAAGTACCAAAAGTCAGACGATTCAGGAGAAACCGTCGAACTTTCGGTACATGTGTACACCTCTCTGTTCAACAGAGGCTGCAGTGCTGATTTGTGTATTCTGATGGGAGGAGGGTGATTCTGCTGTCAGAATACAATAGTGCAGTGGGGGAGATTCCTGCATCCACAATGCCGATGCGGATACATGGATCTGAACATTTTTCCGCTGAACCTACTTGGGAAAAACAAAAAACATTACATGCATACCCAGCTTTTGACTTGAAGAATCTATTTTGCCACAAGACACAAAAGGAGAGGTTGACAGTAAAAATTAAGAGAAAGTCAAGCACAGTGTGCTTCTGGATATTTCTGAGCAGTTTTGATATTCATATTGACTAGTACAACGAAGAAAAGCTGAGGTGCAAACAAATGCTTGAGGCATTTGCCTGAGGGGTGATCAGACTATGGAGATAAAGTATAAACCCGCCACAAACTGGGTACAATACTCTCTTAACTAACCTCTCAAGCCATTTGAAACTTTCAAAATCCTGCCTAAGAGCAGTGTAAGATAAAAAAACCCTCCTCTGGGTCAAAAGTAGTTTCACTTGGCTATAAAAGGTCTGATTTCTCCATGTTCCTCTACCAACTGCTGTCACTGCCTCCAGTGAAGGTGCACCTCATTGGACAAGGAGAAGGCACTTTGTGGGCCCCTCAAAGCGGGGCTAATGTGGCACACAGAGAAGGGTTGGTCTGGCTATCAAAGGTAATGGCAGACTTCTCGCGGTGCCTGCTCTTAGGCAGGACTGAAATGGCTGACCGATTCACTTTAAGCTTGTCACAGGCATAAAATGAATGTTACCCTTATCAAGAATTTTGTAATCAAGGGTGGCAGTGAATATCCCTGATCAATGGATCTTGGGGAAAAACCTTGCTGGCATTCTTCAACCCCAAGAGGGGTTCTGTAGAAAAATAACTACATTGGGCATTGCACTTAATGTGAACCTGTGGCCAGGGTACAGACAGTCAAGTATTTACTGTACATATTGTTAACAATCAGTAAAATAACTCTCTCTTTAGTAGTAGGCACAGCAGAGTAGTAAATTCTCAAAGTTCACAGAAGTCACTAAGGTTCACGAAAATACCCCAATCCTCAAGGTCAAACACTATGGGTGTGTGTTATAATATAAAGGAGAAAAATCAGGATTTTTTGATGATATACACAAGCAGAAGTGGTTATATGAAAATCTTCAAATTTTTTCTATATATACACACACAAGCAAACTACATTTAAAAAAAAAACCCCAAAAAACAAGAAAAAAACAAAAAAAAAACCCCCACCATTTGGGTTTAACCTTTACTTCCTTGTAGTATCAACAAACCCCCTGGAAGAATTTTTTTTTTCCTGAGAAGTGGATTATGCACCGCTAGGCCCGTTGGCATTATCAGCAGAGCTGTTGAGATCTACTAAAATGGCACTGGGGGTGTGGTGGGCATCGTGCGGGTGATGTCACCACGTTAGGTGCACAACATCATTGCGCATGTGATGTTGCACATAGCCACATCTGTGGTGGCCATTTTAAATTACAAATACGTATGCTGAGGAATAGGTGAGTCATTGACTGGTTTTGTCAGTTTAGACCAGCTGCATCAGAGGCAGACTATACCATGTACCAGGACTGATAAGTACAATATTATGTGCATGATGCAGCCATTTTTATAAGCAAGCAAATTTGGCAGTATTTGGAGGTCTGTCTCTGCTCTGAGATGTCGAAAGGACTTGGCATTATGATTTGCTTATTATGGGCTCTTCCTGTATCTACGTGTTGAATTACTATCTAATGGTGGGCGAGAGAGAAACCAACACCGATCACCCACTGCATGAGTACATTGGACTGGGGTGATAACCAAAGCCTGATCTGTTAAAGAGCGAGCGAGAGCGCGCGCGCGAGCGAAAGAGAGAGAGCGCGCGGCGAGCGAAAGAGAGAGAGGGCGAGCGCGAGCAAAAGAGAGAGAGCGAGCGCGAGCGAAAGAGAGAGAGCGAGGGGAGGGAGAGAGAGAGCGAGGGCGAGCGAAAGAGAGAGAGCGGAGCGGGGGGGAGAGAGAGGGGAGAGCGGAGAGGGAGCGAGGAAGAGAGAGAGGAGGGGCGAGAGAGGGGCGCGGCGGGGCGAAGAGAGAGAGGGGCGAAAGAGAGAGAGGCGGGGGAGGAGGAGCGAGGGAAAGGGAGAGAGGGGGGGGCGAGGGGAAAGAGAGGAGGAGGGGAGGGAGAGAGGGGGAGGAGAGGGGGGGGAGCGCGCGGGGGAGAGAGAGGAGGGGAAAGAGAGGGAGGGGAGTGGCGGGAGGGGACGAGAGGGGGAAAGAGAGAGAGCGAAAGAAGAGAGAGAGGGAGGGAAAGAGGGGAGGGGGGGGCGCGAGAGGAGAGAGAGGGAGGGGGGAGAGAGAGGGGGAGAGGGGAGGGGGGAGAGAGAGAGAGGGAGGGGGGGGGAGAGAGAGAGGGAGCGGGGGGGGAGAGAGGGAGAGGAGGGCGGGGGAGAGAGAGGGGAGGGCGGGGAGGGGGGGGAGGGAGGGAGGGGGGAGGGCGGGAGGGTGGGAGGGAGGGGGAGAAAGAGAGAGAGAGAGAGAGGGGGGGGGGGAGAGAGAGGGGAGGGGGGAAGGAGAGAGAGAGGGGAGAGGGGGGGGGGGGGGGGAGGGGGGGGGGGGGGGGAGAGGGGGAGGGGGGGAGAGAGAGGGGGGGGAGAGGAGAGAGAGGGAGGGGGGGAGGGGGGAGAGGGGGGGAGGGAGAGGGGGGGGGGGGGGAGGGAGGGGGGGGGGAGGGGGGGAGGGGGGGGGGGGGGCGAGAGAGGGGGGGGGGGGAGGGAGGGGGGAGGGGAGGGAGGGGGGGGGGGGGGGGGGGAGAAAGAGAGGGGGGGGGGGGGGGGGGGGGAGGGAGAGGGAGAGGGGCGCGGGGGGGGGAGAGAGGAGGGGGGCGCGAGGAGAGGGGAGGGAGGGAGGGGGGGGGGGGGGGGGGGGGAGGGAAGAGGAAGAGGGGGGGGGGGGGGGGGGGGAGAGGGGGGGGGAGAAAGGGGGCGGGGAGAGAGAGAAAAGGAGGGGGGGGGCGCGGGGAGAAAAAAGAGAAGGGGGAGGGGGGGGGGGGGGGGGGAAGGGGGAGGGGCGGGGGGGGGGGGGGGGGCGGGGGGGGGGAGAGAGGGGAGGGGGGGGGAGGGGGGGGGGGAGAAAAAGGAGGGGGGGGCGGGGGAGGGGGGGGGGAAAAGGGAGAGGGGGGTGGGGGGGGGGGGGGGGGGGGAGGGAGGGGGGAGAGGGGGGGGGGGGGGGGGGGGGGGAGCGAGGGAGGGGAGGGGGGGGAGAGGGGGGAGAGAGAGAAGAGGGCGAGAGAGGGGGGGGGAAAAAGGAGGAGAGGGGGGGGGGGGAGAGGGAGGGGGGGGGGGGGGAAGGGGGAGAGAGAGGAGAGGAGGGGGGGGGGGGGGAAAGAGAGGGGGGGGGGGGAGAGAGGGGGGGAAAAAAAGGGAGGGGGGGGGGGGGGGGGGGAGGGGGGGGGGGAGAGGGGAGGAGGGGGGGGGGGGGCAGGGGGGGAGGGGGGGGGGGGGGGGGGGGAGGGGAGAGAGGGGGGGGGGAAAAGGGGGGGGGGAAAGAGGGGGGAAAAAGGAGGAAAGAGGGGGGGGAGGGGGGAGAGGGGGGGGGAGAGGGAGGGGGGGGGGGGGGGGGGGGGAGGGGGGAGGAGGGGGGCGCGGGAGGGGGGAGGAGAGGGGGGAGGGGGGGGAGGGGGGGGGGGGGGGAGGGGAAGAGGGGGCGCGAGAAAAAGGGGGGGGAGGGGGGGGGAGGAGGGGGGGAGGGAGGGGGGCGAGGGGAGGAGAGGGGGGAGGCGGGAAAGAGGGCGGGAAGAGGGGGGGGAGAAAGAGGGGCGGAGGGGCTGGGGGGGGGGAGGAGAGAAGAGAGGGGGGGGAGAGGGGGGAGAGGGGGCGGGGAAGAGAGAGAGAGAGAGAGAGGGGGGGGAGGGAGAAAAAAGAGAGGGGAGAGAGAGGGAGAGAGAGGGGGGGGGCGCGAGAAAAAGAGAGAGAGGGGAGAGAGAGGGGCGGCGGAGAAAAAGAGAGAGAGAGAGAGGGGGGCGGGAAAAGAGAGAGAGAGAGAGAGGGGAAGCGAGAAAAAGAGAGAGAGAGAGAGAGAGGGCGCGAGGGGAAGAGAGAGAGAGGGGGGCGGGAAAAAGAGAGAGAGAGAGGAGAGGGCGCGGGAAAAAGAGAGGGAGAGGAGAGGGCGCGGGAAAAAGAGGAGCGAGAGAGGGAGAGAGGGCGCGAGAGAGAGAGAGAGAGAGAGGGGCGCGAGAAAAAGAGAGAGGAGAGAGGGCGCGGGAAAAAGAGGGGGGGGCGGGAAAAAGAGGGGCGGGAAAAAGAGGGCGGGGGAAAAAGAGAGAGAGAGAGGCGCGGAAAAAAGAGAGGAGGGGCGGGGGAAAAAGAGAGGGGCGCGGGAGAAAAGAAAGCGGAGGCGGGGAAAAAAGAGCGGAGGAAAAAGAGGCGGGCGCGGGAAAAAGGAAGCGGGCGCGGGGAAAAGAGCGGGGCGCGGGAAAAAGAGAGGGGCGGGGAAAAAGAGAGGGCGCGGGCGCGCTGAGAAAAGAGAGGGGGCGGAGAAAAAGAGGGCGCGGGCGAGAAAGAGAGGGGGGCGCGCGCGCGAGAGAAAAAGAGCGGCGCGCGCGAGGCGCGAGAAAAAGAGAGAAAAAGACGCGGCGCGAGCGAGAATGAATTACTCTATGTGGGAGAAGTTCGAGAGGAGTGCATTATTTTTGGGTGATTTTATACTGTCTGTCGTTTATTTTATGGGATTGAATTTAATAACATTTTGTGATATACATCAGCTAAGTGGAGTGTTGGAATGTGGAGGATTTATACATTTTCTTTATAGTTTTTGCCAACATTACATGGTCTTCTAGGAGGTTTGTTAACACACTTCCTGACCTATGTAAAGTGGGAGTAAACTCCCTTGTTGTTTTGTACATACAGGTAAGCCTATAAGTATAAGTACAGTAATTATCTCATAAACGTGTACCTCACAGGCGCATAGGCACCAAGCTCTCAAGAGACGGCATGCAGTCCATTGAGAGAGCCGTGCTGCGGCTGTGACTCCCGCAAGTGCACAGCAGTGACGTCATCACGGCTTGGGCATTCAAATGGCTGGAACCCATGACCAGGTGAAGATGGAATCCCTGTCAGACTAGCATATTATGACATTATCCTGTGGGGGAACAGAGCTGCTGGGAGGAGGAGCACAGTGGTTCTTCTGTGCAAGGATGAACAGTACCTGCAACTACAGAGGGCAGTGAGGGCTTGATCCAGAAATATCCTCATACAAAACACAATTAACATAAACCATAGGAACTAAAGTTTTGGCCATCCCTACCCTCTCATAGTTCATAGTTCAACTAAACTTGAAAAAGGTGGGGGTTTCCTAAAATGGTTGTATCAATGGTTTTTGTTGATTAGGCTGTATAAATATATTTTTTAAATAAAACGTATCATTACTAAATTGCGCTACTAGTCTCCTTTTGATTTGAACTGTATAAAGTTAGTCCTCGAATTACACTTATCCTTTTAAAATCTAGCAATGTTTTGTGCAGACATTAAGTTCCCCTTACCACCAGGCTGTTTTTTCTGCTCATCAAACAAGTCAGCGGAACTGATGGAGGCATTTCCAGAGAGCCTCTCCAGCCGAGCTCTGGTCTCATACTGAAAGAGAAGCATAAGTCAAATGTCTCTGATACTTTAAAGGGGTCCCATTTATCAATATATTAAAAGAAACAAACCAGAGGAAACCACTTGCATCATTTCAGGCTCTAAACCACTTACTGAACATATACAAGTGATAATGGCATTTCTTATGTTTACTATTTACCATTTTTTTGCTTTTCTGCACGTAGTACTTGTTTGACATGAAGGTGGTCAATTTTGTTAACTTCCTGGTCTAATTCTCACACACACTTACTGTAAATAAAAGGAGTGTCAGCTGGGAATCGCTCTGTCTATTTTTGTCTATAAAGTAATATACAGTAAATTCAAAATGGTTTCTTCACCAGACCATAAGCCTCAGGACAGCTCAACACTGCCTGATGTATTAGGACCCATGCTGAATGGGTTAGTGGTTAGCACTTCTGCTCTGCAGCACTGGAGTTCCTTGTATCGAATCTTGTCCAAGACGCTATCTGTGTGGAAAATTTTCTTCTTGTGAGTTGTGTGGGTTTCCTCTGGGTACTCAGGTTTCCTCCCACAGGTCAAAGACATGCTGGTAGATTGGCTCCTGTCTAAATAGGTCCTAGTTAGAGTATGTATGCGGATAGGGAACTTAGACTTGGGGTAAGGACTGAGGTTTACTGTATGTATATTACGGTGCCAAGTACATAAATGAACAGCTCTTGATCCAGATTCTCAGTTTGGTTGATATAGGGGTACACATTCAACCAATAAGGAATTTGTACAAGAATTGTCACTGTTACACTTTATGAAGTGGAAGAAGATTATAGCATAGATATGATCTGGATGATAGAAGACCAAGGCTTCGGTGAGAGCTTTGGCTGGTGAGTTTTATAACAAACGTATTGTAAGATTAACACCATAGATGAGTTCTTAAGTTTTTGTTAACATAGCAAGATTACTTTATTGTATCTTGGTATGTGGATTATTCCTGTCACAGTAAAAAAAAATCATTTATACTTTATTTAATCGGTGCAACCTTTGTGTATGATGAGGATTTAGGAATGATTTGGTGTTAAAGGGACATTGTCACCTTGCCTATTCAGGGCAGAGAGATCATGTCTTTGCAGAACCTTTCCTCTCCCCAGACTACTGATACTCACCTTGTCAGCACTCCCCACAGCTCCTTTTCCAGTCTCAACTAGCTTGTTAACTCCTCCCTGAAACAGTGCAGCCAATCGCTAAGCCCAATCACTGTCATATGACCAAGGGAGAAATGTAACATATCTCCTAAGCAGCAGACACCAGCCAACGGAAGGGATTTTAGTGCTAATATTGACAGAAAACCGCAGGAGAAGTGCTGGCAGGAAAGCACCAACAAGGAAAGTTATCAGGGATTCCAGGGAGCCTTATACAATATGGTCACTATGTTCTGAACTGACAAAGTAACAGTGAAAGAATCAAATTAGAGATAGTATACTCGTGTTTCCTCAGCTTCAGCCAACCAGAGGAAAGGGGAGTAGAATTATCTTTTTTCCTCCCATTTAGGTCTCATTTATACCTTTTTTTTCCGTTCAGCCTGCAGGGAGGAAAAAAAAAAAAAAAAAGAAAAAAGTCAGATTCTTCCATCCAAGCTACACAACATGGATTGACAAATCCAACCACTGTGGATGTTGCATTTTGACAGTGGACCCCACCAGCTCTCAAAATACCCAAACAGCAGCTGAATGACTGGATACAGGTGCTGTTCGTCTGACAGTTTTCTGCTTGGCTCTTTTGGTTTTTGAACGGGATCTTGGGCTGAAGGCGACCAACAGGGCCATCTACTGAGCAAATTTAACCTAGTATATCAAGGGCAGGGCTAGCAACCCGTGTTCTTTGGTCTATCTAAAAGAGAAATAAGACTGATGCAATGAAATTTCTGGCATGCCTTTAAAAGGACAAAGCAAGCATGAGTAAATGAGTTCAGCAGGTGTATGTAAACCATTACCATTTTCCACAAAAAAACAAACACAAATATGCTCATGGTGGTATTTCTATGAACATGTGACCCATAAAACCATAAAAACAGTTTTGAAAAGTCAGCTTACCAAAGAAGTAAACTTTGAAGCAGCTGTGATCCAAATACTACAAAGTACCTTCTAGTGGCCAGGCATGGAAGTTTTTTGGCTTTCAGAGTAGCTCTTTGCTCTGTCTGCCACTAGCAGGCTACTCAATACAGCTAGTTACCCCTGCTGTCATATTTTAAGTGCATGCCAGTGCAATACATCTCTCCATGTTTTACACAAAAAAAAAAAAACGCTGTCTATACAGAAAAATCAGGGGACTGCAGAAGAGGAAATGAGGAACTACTATATTGCACAGAGCAGGTAAGTATAACAGGTTAGTTATTACATAGAAGAGACACACACACACACACACACACACACACACACTTTACCATCACTTTCATCCTCCCCTCCCCCAAAAAAGCCATGCTTTTCATACAGTTATAGCTGCTTATACACTATATTGCCAAAAGTATTGGGACGCCTGCCTTTCCACGCACATGAACTTTAATGGCATCCAAGTCTTAGTCCATAGGGTTCAATATTAAGTTGGCCCACCCATTACAGATATAACAGCTTCAATTCTTCTGGGAAGGCCGTCCACAAGGTTTAGGAGTGTGTCTATGGGAATGTTTGACCATTCTTCCAGAAGCACATTTGTGAGGTCAGGCACTGATGATAGATGAGAAGGCCTGGCTCACAGTCTCCGCTCTAATTCATCCCAAAAGTGTTCTGTCAGGTTGAGATCAGAACTCTGCAGGCCAGTCAAGTTCCTCCATCCCAAACTCGCTCATCCAAGTCTTTATGGACCTTGCTTTGTGCACTGGTGTGCAGTCATGTTGGAACAGGAAGGGGCCGTCCCCAAACTGTTCCCACAAAGTTGGGAGCATGAAATTGTCCAAAATGTCTTGGTATGCTGATGCCTTAAGAGTTCCCTTCACTGGAACTAAGGGGCCAAGTGCAATCCCAGAAAGACAACCATAATCCCCCTCCACCAAACTTTACGCTTGGCACAATGCAGTCAGGCAAGTACCGTTCTCCTGACAGCTGCCAAACACAGACATTTCCATTGTATTTGCTAGACAGAGAACCCAGATTCATCACTCCAGAGAACAATGTCTCCACTGCTCTAGATTCCAGTGACAGCGTGCTTTACACCACTGCATCTGACGCCATTGCATTGCACTTGGTGATGTAAGGCTTTGATGCAGCTGCTCAGCCATGGAAACATATGCCATGAAGCTCTCTATGCACTACTGTTGTGCTAATCTGAAGGCCACATGAAGTTTGGAGGTCTTTAGCGATTGACTCTGCAGACAGTTGCTGACTTCTGCACACTGTGTGCTTCAGCATGTGCTGACCCCGCTCTGTCATTTTACATGGACTACCACTTCATGGCTGGGTTGCTGTTGTTCCCAGTTTCTTCCACTTTGTTATAATACAGCTAACAGTTGACCGTGGAATATTTAGTAGCAAGGAAATGTCACGGATGGATTTATTGCGCAGGTGGCAACCTATCACGGTACCATGTTTGAATTCACTGAGCTCCTGAGAGTGACCCATTCTTTCAAAAATGCTTGTAGAAGCAGTCTGTATGCCTAAGTGCTTGATTTTATATACCTGCGGCCATGGAGGTGATTGGAACACCTGAATCCAATGATTTGGGGGGTGTCCCAATACTTTTGGCAATATAGTGTATCTCTGTATATGCTGGTTGTTTTGGTGGTATTCTCACTTAAGATGACGAATGCATTCTCCTTTGAACTACACAGTTTTGTGATGGATTCATTTCAAAACCTGCTTATTTCTGTTTATATAGAACTTATATAAAATTTTCTCCGGGGGTGAAGACACTGCTTACTCACATCGGCATTGTCTTGTTTCCCGAAGTACATGTCAGAAGAGATTGCCCTGGCGTTTCCAAACTTCTTCTGAGCATCGTCTGTCATGGGGGTTGGCTCTATGTCATGCTTACGACGAGTGGCGGGTCTGAGGGACAAAGGGAAAACACACAAAAAAAAAAAAAAAAAAAAAAAAAAAAAAAAAAAAACTTACAATGCTACGCCACACAAAGAAAAAGCAGTTAAATCTCACACGTTTCAGATTATTACGCTGAAGTGCAGACAAACAGCTAAATAAACAGCTGAGATATACAGTTGTGTTCAAAATAATAGCAGTCACACATCACTAACCTGATCAATCACTGTTTTTGGTAGAAATGATATTTCTACATGGCAAATAATTTACTAGCAGGTGTAGTAGAGTAATAGAAATCCAACAGACCCAACAGTCATGACATGCATGCTGCTGATTCTGTGTAATTGAATCACTAATTGAAAGGGGCATGTTCAAAAATAATAGCAGTGTGGAGGTCTATTAGTGAGGTCATTAATTCTTTGAAAAACAGGTGGCAATTATTGCCCTTATTTAAGGAAGGAAGGCAGCAAATGTTGTACATGCTGGTTACAGTGCATTTCTCTCTGAAATTCTGAGGAAAATGGGTCTTGGCAAAACCAAGAAATAGAGAAGAACTGTGGAATGTAGTCCAATCATCCTGGGCTGGAATACCTGTTCACAGGTGCCAGAAGTTGGTTGACTCCATGCAACACAGATGTACAGCAGTTCTCAGAAACAGTGCTTATACAACTAAATATTAAGTAAGTGATTCAAAGGAAAGCAAAATCTTCAAACATTTTTCAGTTTATATAGTGAATGTTTGAGTTTGTAAAGAAGAATACAAACACTGCTATGTTTTTGAACAGTCTAATATTCACTTTTCAATTTTTTTTTTTTTAGAGGAACAACACAAATCTGATATATTTTTCTTCATGTTTTGATTTGGAATAGAATGTGTAGTGTTCCCAATGCATTTGTGTGTATGGAAATAAAATCTATTTGAAGGATTTTGAGCTTTATTCACTTTTTTCAACACACTGCTATTATTTTGAACACAACTGTATATAAGACAAATGTTTTTTTTTCCCCCGACAAAGTATTTGTATTTCTGTTCATTTAGTCCTGAGATTTATATACAACCCCTGGCAAAAAGTATGACACACACACATATATAAATCACAGAACATGCCTCAAAACTATTTTCATTTAACATTCCAACCTTCTGGCTTTAAGAGACACTTAAAAAAAAAAAAAAAAAAAAAAGAAAACTGTAGTCAATTGCAACTGGTTTTGCAGATGAGTACATACACATGCACCTGACATTGTGAACTGAGCAATAGTAATAGTATCAAACAGCGCCATCTAGTTTTCTTGTATAAGACTACAAGTTGATGAATCAGATAGTATCCAAAAAATTACAGCATCTATTATTACTATTATTATTATACAGGGTTTATATAGCGCCAACAGTTTGCTCAGCGCTTTACAATATAACAGGAGACAATACAGCAACAATACAGTTCAATACAAGAGGGTTAGGAGGGCCTGATCCTGGGAGCTTACAATCTAGGAAATGTTTTTTACTTTTTGATTTTTTATTCAGTGGTGCACCTCAAAAGTAAACTTTTTATAGGTAATCCTTAGATTTACACTGTTCCGCTACAATGAACAGTCAGGCAGATCACAAGTAGTAAAATTCTGAGAGGTTTGTTTTTTTTTTTTAATAAAAAATGTCTTCTTCGCAACCTGCTCCCATTCCTCAGTAAGTAATTCACCAAATATGTGGGTAGAAAAGCTTACTGTTCTCGCTGCACACCGCCACCAGCTTAAGATAGTATGACACTGCTTCCTCGTATAGGAAGGGGTACGCATGTGATAGCACAGGTACAGGGAAGAAGGAAAAAAGGGGGAACATGGCAGTAATTTGCTTCAGGGTTGTGTGTTTGAGCTGACGCACACAGCATCATCTCTCGTCTTGGCGGAGAGTGAGCAATGAATGCATTAATTATTTGTTTTTTATAGCAGGCTTTTAAATCCTGTCTCCAGGCTCCCTATGTTTAGGAACCCACTGGCAGTATTTTTTTTTTGTGGATTTTGTTTTTTATGAGCCCTTAGGCTGGTTACATAATCCTCCAAGATCCTCTTCATCTTCACCTCTTCTCCATGCTAGGGTGGACCTTACTGTTGCAGACATCAGCACCAGGTGCAGGGGAATTGAAGGGCACAGTGGCAATACAGGGCAGCAATATGGCACCCTGCACTCACAGACTTCCAAAGTCTTCTGGGTGGAGTGATGCCATCTTGTGGCCATAAAGAGGAACTGCAGGGGACAGCACTGGATTAAATGGAGAATCATAGGCAGAGCTGCTCTTTTTTCAGCAGCCAGAGCATTTTTTTTTTTTTTTTTTAAATAAAAGTTTAGCCTGAAGCTGGTTTTTAATATTTATATTATTAGCACTTTGCTCCTGCTGCAACAGAGCGCCTTAGGAGAGTTAACATTGGGTGGCAGAGATAAGCTTTCTGGCTGTAAATGGCGGTCATAGTGGTCACATGATCAGAAGCTCCTGATTGTAAACCGGGAGCTATTCATGTGTGGTTCCCGAGTGGTTCCTTATGGACACGTATGTGCATCAAAATCAGTGTTAAGGTCCACCCACCCTGACACCACATATATGCATACAGCCAGCAGTGACAGGTTAATAATTAAAAAAACAAAAAAAACACACACAACACGTACAGTGCATCCAGAAAGTATTTACAGCGCTTAACATTTGCCACATTTGTTATGTTACAGCCTTATTCCAAAATGGATTAAATTTGTTTTGTTCCTCAACACTCTACAAACAATACCCCATTAATGACATGAAGAAGTTAGTTTTCAAATCTTTGCAATTTATTAAAAATAAAAAAAAACCCACATGTACATAAGTATTCCTTTGCCATGACACTTAAAATTGAGCTCTGGTGCATCCTGTTCCCACTGATCATCCTTGAGATGTTTCCACAACTTGGAGTCCACATGTGGGAAATTCATCTGATTGGACATGATTAGGAAAGACATAAACCTGTCTATATAAGGTCCCACAGTTAACAGTACATGTCAGAGCACAAACCAAACCATGAAGTCCAAGGAATTGTCTGTAGACCACCGAGACAGGATTGTATCAAGACACAGATCTGGGGAAAGGTACAGAAAAAGTATTGCAGCATTGAAGGTCCCAATGAGCACAGTGGCCTCTATCATCCGTAAATGGAAGGAGGTTTGGAACCACCAGGAATCTTCCTAGAGCGGGCCGCCCAGCCAAAATGAGTGATCAAGGGAGAAGGGCCTTAGCCAGGGAGGTAACCAAGCACCTGATGGTCACTCTGAAAGAGCTCCAGTGTTTCTATGTGGAGAGAGGAGAACCTTTCAGAGGAACAACCATCTCTGCAGCACTCCACCAATCAGGCCTGTATGGTAGAGTGGCTAGACGGAAGCCACACCTCAGTAAAAGGCAAATGGCAGCCTGCCTGGAGTTTGCCAAAAGGCACCTGAGGGACTCTCAGACCATGAGAAACAAAACTCTCTGGTCTGATGAAACAAAGATTGAACTCTCTGGCCTGAATGCCAAGCGTCATGTCTGGAGGAAACCAGGCACTGCTCACCACCTGGCCAATACCATCCCTACAGTGAAGCATGGTGGTGGCAGCATCATGCTGTGGGGATGTTTTTCAGTGGTAGGAACTGGGATACTAGTCAGGATTGAAGGAAAGATGAATGCAGCAATGTACAGAGACATCCTTGATGAAAACCGGTTCATCTTTCAACAGGACAACGACCCTAAGCACACAGCCCACATAACAAAGGAGTGGCTACTGGCCAACTCTGTGAATGTCCTGGAGTGGCCCAGCCAGAGCCCAGACATGAACCCGATTGAACATCTCTGGAGAGATCTGAAAATGGCTGTGCACCGACACTCCCCATCCAACTTGATGGAGCTTGAGAGGTACTGCAAAGAAGAATGGGAGACATTGCCCACAAATAGGTGTGCCAAGCTTGTAGCATCATACTCAAAACAACTTGAGGCTGTAATTGGTGCTAAAGGCACTTCAACAAAAGTACTGAGCAAAGGCTATGAATACCTATGTAAATGTAGTTTTTTTGTTTATTTTTATTAAATTGCAAAGATTTCAAAACAAAATTCTTTCACGTTATCATGAGGTATTGTTTGTAGAATGTTGAGGGAAAAAAATTTAATTTAATCCATTTTGGAATAAAGTTGTAACATAACAAAATGTGGCAAACGTTAAATGCTGTATATACTATCTGGATGCACTGTACACACACACCTCATCTTGTCACAGCACCTTTCATTTGTGAAGTATATATTCCTGTCTCTTTATTACACGTTCAAGACATTCAACTCCCACTGCTGGAAATAAAATGACATTTGTATACCTGTCATCATAGCTTGTTGTGGATTTGGAGCTCAAAGTCATATCAAAGTCATTGCTGGAAGTGTCCTTCTTCCACATATCATCTGATCTCTCATCCCACCTTAGAAAAGAGGAGCTGATGGGGTCCAGTGGGTCCTCCCGGTATCTGGACAAAAACAGGAAAGAGCAAGGTCACGTTTAGATTCTACTTGTTTATTTGTACTTTTAAAGTGTACTTAAAGCAAAAACGGTTTCCTGGCTTTCAGTTATCCAGGTGTCCCCTCTGGGAGATTTTTTTCTCAACTCCTGTTCCTGTGATAACTGAAAGTTTAGATTTCCAATCACTTTCTGTTTCAATGACATACAGCGAGGGCTAATCTCTCCAGTAGGTACACAGACAGCAATAAAAAGAATTCCTACTCACCATCTGAATCTTGGAGGGAGAAAAAAAAAAAAAACAAAAAAACCACACCTACAAAAAGTAGCTTTATGCATCCTTATAGGATTTGGGTTTTTAAACTCACTGCAGTAGTAGATTATGTCAGAAAATGCTTACCCTACATTGAAGGTATTAACCAGGATAAAGACAATAATAACACACATACATAAATATACAGCGGGTAAAATAAGGATTGAACACGTTACCTTTTCCCTCAGTAAATATACTTCTAAAAAGGTGCTGTTGACATGAAATTTCCACCACATATACACATGTAGGAAACAACCCATGCAATCCATACTTACAAAGAAACCAAAACAAATAAGTTCAGAAACTAAATTATGTGTAATAAAAAGGAATGCCACGGGGAAAAAGTATTGAACATGCTGACTGAAATTCATTTAATACTTGGTACAAAATCCTTTGTTGATAATGACAGCTTCAAGACACCTCCTGTATGGAGAAACTAGTCACATGCATTGCTCAGATGTGATTTTGGCCCATTCTTCCACACAGTCTTCAAAAGGTTCCATTGGTCTCTTCTATGAACTCTGATCTTTGGTTCTTTCCATAGATTTTTCTATTGGATTCAAGTCAGGTGTTTGGCCGGGCCATTCTAGCAGCTTTATTTTTTTTGAAAACCAAATTGAGAGTTTCCTTGGCTTTGTGTTTGAGATAATTTGTCTTGCTGAAATGTCCACCCAGGTTTCATCTTCATCATCCTGGTAGATGGCAGCAGATTTTCATCAATAATGTCTTGGTACATTTTTCCATTCATCCTTCCTTCAATGATATGAAGTTTGCCAGTACTGTATGCTGAAAAAAACAGCCTCACATCCATGATGTTCCCACCTCCAAACTTCACTGTTGGTATGGTGTTTTTGGGGTGATGTGCAGTGCCATTTGACCTCCAAACATGGTGTGTATTATGGCATCCAAAGAGTTACATTTTTCTCTCATCTGACCAGACTATATTCTCCCTGTATTTCACAGGCTTGTCTACATGATGTGCAGCAAACTTTAAACGAGCTTTAACATGATTTTTCTTCAGCAATGGAGTCTTGCGTGGTGAGCGTGCATACAGGCCATGGTGGTTGAGTGCATTACTTATTTTCTTTGAAACAATTTTACCTGCTAACTTCAGGTCTTTCTGAAGCTCTCCATAAATGGTCCTTGGCTCTTGGACAGCTTTTCTTTTCACTCCCCTGTCTGAAATCTGGTCATGGCTGGTTTATGGTGAAATGATGTTCTTTCCACTTCCGGGTTAGGGCCCAAACAGTGCTCATTGGAACATTAAGAAGTTCAGAAATCTTTCTGTAACCAATGACATCAGTATGTTTTGCAACAATAAGGTTGTGAAGGTCTTGAGAGAGCTCTTTGCTTTTACACATCATGAGATGTTTCTTGTGTGACACCTTTGTAATGAGACACCTTTTTATAGGCCATCAGTTGAGACTGAACCAGCTGATATTAATTTGCACTGACAAGCGGCAGGATTGCTTTCTAATTACTGATAGATTTCAGCTGGTGTCTTGGCTTTCCATGCCTTTTTGCACCTCCGTTTCTTCATGCGTTCAATACTTTTCCCTGTGTCATTCCATTTTATTATACATAACTTGATTACAGAACTTATTTGTTTTGGTTTCTTAGTATGTATTTATTGCATGGGCTTGTAGTGAAAATTTCATGTCAATAGCACCTTTAGAAATATATTTACCTAGAAAAATGGTAACGTGTTCAATACGTATTTTACCCGCTGTGTATATATGTATATCTATAACTCTCTATTGTATCTGTCAGAAAGTGGTCTGTGATCTCCTGCAGACCAGCAATTGGTTTAATAATTTTTTATACAAAATAAAGAGAAAATATAGAAAAATGGGCATTGGATATGATATACGCAAACATCAAGAAGAGAGGAGAATTCAGTGACAACACAGCTTTACAAAAAGATATGCAAAAAAGGTATAGATATAAAATCGGTAACCCTTGACACAAAGCAGCTTCCTGCATGAAGGTAAAAAAACCTTCAGTAAATATATATATTCAAACAATAGTGCAGCGCTCCCGTGCTAATGAATAATATTTAAAATAATAGATAAAACCATGGCACTTGATTGAAAAAACCTTCAGTAAGAAGCTCCCCCCTCAGCACCCCAATACTTACGCAAGCCTGATCCAGCGATGTGGCTCTCCCAGGTCTCTCCCTCCTCACTGGCTGACACACAGCAGCGGGAGCCATTGGCTCCCACTGCTGTCAATAACAGCCAGTGAGGAAGAAGAGAGGGGCAGGCCTGAGCCACGCTCTGTGTGTCTTGCTGACACAGGCAGAATGGGAGCGAGCATGCAGGAGTGCTCCTAAAGCAAACCGCTTGCTCTGGGGGAACTCAGCAGGGGGGAGGAGACAGGAGAAATGGCAGGGAACCCGAGAAGAGGAGGATCAGGGCTGCTGTGTGCAAAACCATTGTACAGAGCAGGTAAATATAACATGTTTGTTATTTAACCACTTGCCCTCCAGAGGATTTACCCCCCTTTCTGATCAGGCCATTTTTTTTGCGATACGGTGCACGCTAATTTACCTGACAATTGCCAGGTCATGCAACACTGTACGTAAATTAAATTTATGCCATTTTCTTCCCCACAAACTAGAGCTCTTTCGGTGGTATTTTTTTTTAATACTAGTAATGGCGGCGATCAGCAACTTCTAGTGGGACTGCAGGAGGCATTCTGACACTGGGTGGGAACGGCCACTGACATCCCCAGTGACACTAATACAGTGATCAGTGCTAATAAAAAAAAAAGCACTGACACTGTACTAATGACACTGGGCAGGAAGGGGTTTACATCTGGGACAACCAAAGGGTTAACAGTGTGCTGTGTTTCACATTGTAGCGGTGTTGTGTTTTACTAGGGAGTCATGCTGCTTCATATCTCTCTGCTGTGCGTGCCCCCTACCCGGAAAACACACACACATCACACACTTCTGAGTGCACCAATTTTAGTAAATTTCCTCCTTAGAGTCAAATAAAGTGGTAACTAGAAGAGTTTATATAAAAAAAAGAAACAAAAGAGAAGCAAAAGCAGTTACGTTGATATATGAAAGGATGCAGATATTACTGATGAAATTCAGCATCTCATTGTAAGATATTATGGGATAGTGCAATATGTGAATATTTGTTACAGTATTTTATATCTTTAGATTATATCTTTATATAAAGAAATAAAAGGCGGATTTATATTCTTTGATAGGCTAGACATGAAAATAATAATGCACATCACATGCATTATGCCAGTTATTAGACAATGGCAGATTTGTTGTTTAAAACCGCTTCCCGCCCACCATATAAGGTAATGACGGGCGCAAGGAGGTTCTCTCGTTCTGGGAGGACGTCATATGACATTCTCCCACTCTTAACTGCGCATGCGCGGCTCTGGGAGCGCGCAGCAGTCGGTGATGCGCTGTGTCCCTCGGACACAGCGCATCACCGATCAACGGAAACAGCAGATGTCGGCTCGGTCATGTGATCAGCTGTGTCCAATCACAGCTGATTGCATGTAAATAGGGAAAAGGGCATCCCTCAGAGGGGACATGTACACAGATCATCAGGGCACTGATAACCAGTGTAGCCCCAGCAGCGTCACCTGTCAGTGTCCATCAATGCCACCTGTCAGTGCCCATCAGTACCACATCAATGCCACATATCAGTGCCTACCAGTGCACATAAATGCCACATATTAGTGCCCATCTGAGCTGCCTTTCAGTGTCACCTATCAGTGCCAGTCAGTGCCAACAGTGCCACTGCCATATATGAGTGCTGCCGGTCAATGCCCATCAGTGCCACCCATCAGTGCCCATTAGTGCAGCCTCATAAGTGCACATCAGTGAAGGAGAAAAATCACTTATTTACAAAATTTTATAACCAAAAACTAAGAAAAATTTTTTAGTTTTTTTAAATTTTCAGCTGTTTTTGGTTTGTTTAGCAAAAAAATAAAAAACCCAGAGGTAATTAAATACCACCAAAAGAAAGCTCTGTCTCAAAAAAATGATAAAAATTTTATATGGGTACAGTGTTGCATGACTGCACAATTTTCATTCAAAGTGTGACAGCACTGAAAGCTGAAAATTGGCCTGGGCAGGATAAGTGCGCTGTAGGCAAGTGGTTAAAATCCAGCAATACAGCCTTGCGTCCAGTAAGCATCTAGCATTTTGAAGGTCAGTCAACCTGCCCATATGTTATAGTAAGTTATGTGTATCCTTTGCATAATGGGTCAGTTCTTCAATTAACCGTTTTCGTGGAACAATATACAATGTGAAAATAGCTGAAAAGTTTTCACGTTTTCTAGTTTACAATCTATGGAGGAAATGTATAACACAGACCAGTAACTAATCAAAGCTATTGACTTATCACATCTTTTTTGGTTTTGTATTTTGGCACATTTTAGACTTTTGTGCTTTAAACCTGAAAACAGAATATATTTTCTGAAAGCCTTGGTGAATTAAAATGTTGCAATTTTCTTTTTTTCCACAAAATATTAGTGCAACTATCAAACCTGTCTTCTGTAAAGTATGCAATCAATTTATTTTTAGTGCACACAAAATATATTACCCATTAACCCTAAAATAAGAAAAAAAAAAAAAAAGGGGGATGAGGCTGCAGAGAGTAAATAACAAAATATGTCAGTGCAACAGTGAAGCTAGAGTAACCCAAATTGTCCATTGGCAACACTTTAAAAGCCTTTAAAACTCTAAAAGGGTAGATAGATTAATGGAAAAAGTATAATGAAATTGCTATGTTGCTGCCTGTCACGGTCATGTGTTCCTACACCTCAAAAGATATATAAAGCCTCCAATGTACAACACAACAAATAAATATTATACATTTTGATCCCACTGTGTAGAAACCAATATTGCTTAAAATTCAAAAATGTGCAACAAACCAATTGATTGATGCGTGAAATGTGAATAAACTGGACATACATTTCACACAGTGTAGACGATTAATATAAAACTCTAAATTTTCCAACATAAATATAGTGCCCAATCTTCTTCATAAATTCTGTGCTCCTAATGTGATATAATATGCATTAATTTACATGTGTGCTTGCCATGGATATTCCAGAGAAAACCTGTGCGATCCACACCTGTATGACCTCCACCAGGGTTAAAAAAAAAAAAAAAAAAAAAAAAAAAGGATTTATATTGTACAAAAGATATATATTGTATATTCGTATTTCATGTATTATTTACTTGGTTTGTTGGACATTTGTGAGATTTTGAGCATATTGTTTTTTAAACAGTGGGATCAAATGTATTCATATTTATTTTTGTTGTGCTGTACTTTGGAGGCTTATATAAAAACATTTTGTGTGGTTTTTTTATCTCTCTAAAAATGTTCATTATGTAAACTTATTTTGTTATCCAACTTCACTGCAAAATAAAGTTTTATGAAAATTTAACTCACACCACTGGGAGTGGTGTAAAGATAAAGATCTGACAGACCAACACACAAAATAAACTCATCTCACCGAGACCGCGAGGAACTTGAGAAGAAATCCTCTGGTTCTTCTTCTTGGTAAATTTTTTTGGGTTTGGTGTTCCTTGGGGCTTCCTGCTCAATAATTTGCATCTCAGAGAGGACCGAATGGGAGATTCCACTGAGAAAATAAGAAAAAAAGCACACATTTAAAAATGAGTAAGATCTTGTGAAAAAAAAAAAAAAAACACAAAATAATATTGGATTTCTGCTTTAAAAACTAAATTTGCAGAAAAAGAAATCCTACAAATAAAAAAAAAAGGGAGGTTATCTTACCTGCGGTTGCCAAAACCCATACCGAGACGTTCTGCTTCTGCCTTCTTGCTAGCAGGCAAATTTTTCAGTTTTTCCTCCTCTTTCTGCTTCTGGATTTCCAACTCCTTGTATGCTAGACGTAGAGAAGCAACCCTGCAACAGCAAGAATCCATAAATAAATAAAATGTGCTGTGCTAATATAATCAAGTCTGTGCTGAATTGTGCCACAAATCACAAATGCTATTTATCATACATATTCACCGACTTCTTGTGATAATCAATACTGCATCAATATCATATGTTGCATAAACAGGTGAAGATATGAAAATGCGTGTGTGTTGAAAAATTGTTGTTAGTGTTCAGAAACAAAGGGGTCCAACAATAAAAGCCTTTTTAAAACTCCCACAAATAACGAAGAACTTTCATCGAAAAGCTCTTCCTTATGCGCACATCCTGGCTGGTTAAAGGAGGTGCTAACCTGGGTTTCAGGATAGACAGCAGAAGCAGTGTCTAGCCCTAGAGGGTAACTACCCAGCATGTGATTCAAAGGGAAGGTGATCTGACTTCACGTAAGTGAATGTTTATTCAATAATGATTTAGATTTGTGGAGAGCACTATGGTGTTTGTCTGCATTTCTCCAAGTCAGTTATATGGATTGGTCCTTTATGTTTGAAAAGAATTGATAGAATCAGTGGACTGACAGTCCTTGCCTGCCTCTAAAAAGGGATATGTGCAGAAGACCTTTTATTTTAGTAGTCAATAAGATAAGGTGAGAGTATACCCAAAAGAGGTGGTGGTGTTGTTACACCTGAACATAAAACAGACGTTATTCTTCATTATTTGTAGGAGTTTTTAAAAAAAGGACATTTTAGTAATACTAACCTCTTCCCGACTGCCCTATATCAGAACTACTTGCACAAAATCACACACACGTGTATATATATATATATATATATATATATATATATAATATATAATATATATATATAAATATATATATATATATATATATATATAAAATATATATATATATACACACACACACACACACACACACATACACACACACACAGTGTCGTCCTAACCCGAGCCGCCATTGGTGGCTACAGCTGTTGATCGCTGGGTCCCGGATGGAAATTCCCCACCAGAACCCCGCGATTGCCGAGGAACTGACAGAGGAGATGTCTGTATGTAAAATACAGATCGCTCCCCTGTCAGCACCAGTATGCTGCTTTGTATTGCTCTGCATAGCAGAGCAATACAAAGCAGCGTGCTTACGTAGTAAAGCACGCACAGATAACACAGTAAATCAGGACACAGTTAACCCTTTGAATACCACAGATGTTAACTCCTTCCTGCCCAGTGTCATTAGTACAGTGTCAGTGTTTTTTTTATTAGCACTGATCACTGTATTAGTGTCACTGGGGATGTTAGTGACAGTCAGTCTCCCCCCTCCCCCCGTTTCAGAATGCCTGCCGCAGTCCCGCTTTAAGTCGCTGGTCGCCGCCATTAATAGTATTAAAAAAAAATAAAATAAAATCTTCAGTATATATACACCTCCATTTGTAAATGCTATAACTTTCATGTAAACCAATTAATTTACACGTGTAAGGGATTTTTTTTTTTTTTTTTTTTTAGCAAAGACATATAGCAGAATACATTTTGGCCTAAATTTGATTTTTTTTACTGGATATTTTTATGGATATATGCCCCATAGTAGGTCTAAGAGTGACGTCACCGTACAGGCACCACGGCCTTTGTTAATGACCTCTCCTCTCCCCTGAAGCTGGCCGCTGGGGAGATTACGTTCCTAGATCAATGCACCCTCAGAATAGGTAAGTATATGCATCTTTCTGCTACAGGGCAGTTAGAATAGAATTTAGACCGGGGGGGGAAGCAGGTTTAACCACCTCCCGACCGGCGCATATAAACGGCCGGACGGTGGCAGTACAGGGTTGGGTGGCCGTTTATGAACGGCCTCCCCGCACCCTGCTTGTGCGCGCTCCCTGGGAGCGCGCAGCACCGCGATCCGGTGCCCGCTGTGTCCTCCGGACACAGTGAAACACCGATCGTCGGACGGGACCTCTGTACGAGGTTCCGATCATATGATCACTGATTGGCCAATCAGTGATCACATGCAAAGTAGTAAGCAAGATGTCACTTGTGACATCATTGCTTACTACGTGTGAAATCTGTGAATGATCACAGAGGTCACATGGTACAAGACTATTCACAACAGCCTTGTACCATGTGACAAGCTCTGACCAATCACAGCCCACTCAGTATTTCTCAATGAGTGCAGGAATGCACACAGAGAGAAAGAGAAATGATTGCTTTTACATCCTATATGGGTGTAAAAGCAATCAGTGTAAAAAAAAAAAAAAAAAAAAAAAAAAAAATCTTCATCATCCCCCAAATAGTACAGTGTCACCATGGTGACACTGTACTGCTAGGGTGACAGTATGTAAAAAAAAAAAAAAAAATAAAAAATAATATAAAAAAATAAAATAAAAATGTAAAAAAAAAATGTTTAAAAATTATAATTTTTGGTTATAAACTAATCTTTTTTTTTTTTTTTTTTTACTAAAAAGATAACGGAATACATTTTGGCAAAGATTTATGATGAAATATTATTTTCAAAATTTAAAAAAAAAAAAAAAAAAAAAACACTTTTGTTCAAAATATTTGGACTTTTTCATTTACATAGCAAAAAAAAATAAAAATCCCAGCGGTGAATAAATACCACCAAAATAAAGCTTTATCTGTCTCAAAACAATGATAAAAAATTAATTTGGGTACAGTGTTGCATGACCGCGCAATTATCATTCAAAGTGTGATAGCGCTGAAAGCTGGAAATTGCCCTGGTCAGGAAGGGGGTAAAAGTGTCCGGTCTGGAAGTGGTTAAGCTTAGTTAGGAATAACCAAAACTTCCACTTTAACACTTGCAACTGTTCAACACGTCTATTTTCATGTCTTCACTTCTTTATGGCAAAAACTGCACTGAAGGAGACCCCAGGAAAGCAGAAATATAAGCAGATTAAATGTAAGCTTTAAACAATGGCAAAAATAAAAAAGAAAGACTGAATTTACCAATTCCTGCGTATGCCCAAATGAGACTGGTTCTTTTTAATACATATGGCTACTGCTTAGGTCAACAACCCCTCCCCAGGATTCCCAGTAGGATACTCACACTGGCTCCTCTGTCTTCTTCGTGGCACTGACCAGTTCCTGCTCCTTCAGCTTATCTACAGCCTGAGCATGTTTTTCAATCTCGTTGAAGCTTTTTCCACTCACTTTCTGAGCCCCCAAGCCTGCTTTCTTGGCACCCAGCTGCAACATGAACAATAATAATTAGTAAAAGGTTCTGAGCTGTAGTATTATAAAAAGCATCCCTGAGAAATAATCAGTGGAGATATTAATGTTAGACAGACAGACACACACACGTATTGGAACGCCTCTCAAAATCATTGGATTCAGGTGTTCCAATCACCCCCATGGCCACAGGTGTATAAAATCAAGCACCTAGGCATACAGACTGCTTGTACAAACATTTGTGAAAGAATGGGTTGCTCTCAAGAGCTCAGTGAATTCAAGCGTGGTACCGTGATAGGTTGCCACCTGTGCAATAAGTCCATCCGTGAAATTTCCTTGCTACTAAATATTCCACAGTCAACTGTTAGTGTTATAACAAAGTGGAAGCAACTGGAAACAACAGCAACTCAGCCATGAAGTGGTTCATGTAAGATAACAGAGCGGGGTCATCGCATGCAAAAGCGCACAGTGAGCAGAAGTTGGCAACTGTCTGCAGAGTCAATAGCTAAAGACCTCCAAACTTTGTGTGGCCTTCAGATTAGCACAAAAGTGCGCAGAAAGCTTCATGGAATGGGTTTCCATGGCTGAGCAGCTGCATCCAAGCCTTACATCTCCAAGTGCAATGCAAAGCATCAGATGTAGTGGTGTAACGCAAGTCGCCTCTGGACTGTAGAGCAGTGGAGATGTGTGCTCTGGAATGACGAATCACACTTGTGTCTGGCAATCCGATGGATGTGTCTGGGTTTGCCTACTGCCAGGAGAATGGTACTTGCTTGACAGCATTGTGCCAAGTGCAAAGTTTGGAGGAGGTGGATTATGGTGTGGGGTTGTTTTTCCAGGGATTGGGCTTGGCGCCTTAGTTCCAGTGAAGGGAACTCTTAAGGTATCAGTATACCAAGACATTTTGGACAATTTCATGCTCCCAACTTTGTGGGAACAGTTTGGGGATGGCCCCTTCCTGTTCCAACATGATTGCGCACCAGTCCATAAAGCGAAGTCCATAAAGATACAGATGAGCGAATTTGGGGTGGAAGAACTTGACTGGTCTGCATCAACCCAATGGGATGAATTTGAGCAGAGACTGTAAGCCAGGCCTTCTCATCTGACATCAGTGCCTGACATCACAAATGCGCTTCTGGAAGAATAGTCAAACATTCCCATAGACACACTCCTAAACCTTGTGTATTAATTACTATCTATCTAGTAATATTTCAGCATACTAGAAATGAAAAAAAAAAAAAAATAAAGTCAGTAGCTACAAATACTGTAGCTGCCGACCTTTAATTATAGGACACTTAACTGCCCAGAATCTAGTGCTGTCATCTGGTTCTCCTGTCGTTGGGACCCTGGGGCCGGCATTTTTTCTTTGAAAAGCCAGTTGTGACTGCTTGAGGCTCCACAGCCAGCTTCTGCTGAGTTACACTTGGTGAATGGCCCTGCAGCCTTCTGGAACCTGTGCCATGTCCCATAAAGCTGCGGGCGAAGGGAGGGGATGCGAACCTCTGCTTGAATCACCTATGCGACCCTAGGCAGAAGTGGGAGCAGGTACCTGTCAAAACCAGGTACCCGCTCCCCCCTAAAAAATTAGGTGTCAAAAGTTAAAGAGGAGGGGGAGGGGTTAAGGCGGAAGGAGAAGACATGTGGAATATCCCCTTTTGGGTGAAGTTTCGTTTTAAGTGGATAGCGGTCCAGAGTGCTGGAGAATTTTTTGTGTATGCTTGTGTAAATAAGAACAAATGGTCAATGTGCCTTTATTACTGTAGAACAAATTGGTTACTTTACAAAATCATTTTGGTGTTGAATTTGTAAACCAGCTTTTTTTTCTACACTTAGTCTAGGTTCACACCTATGCAGTTTGCGTTTGATCCATTCCTGCAGTGGTATTTGCAGTACGTTTTTCATTTTAAGGGGTTTTTTTTTGCATTTTGCGGTTTTTCTCCTTAACTTGTTGCTAGGCAGATTAAAACGTAAATTGCATCAAAAACACATCGCAAAACACATCATGCTTTTCTTCAGCGTCTCCATTGAAGTCTGTTGAACCAAAAACGCAATGTTTTGCGATTAAAAAAAAAACCCTACCCTTTCCAAAAAACGGGTGAAAATGCGGAGTTGTGAACCTGTCCCAAAGGAAATCATGTTAAATAGACTGCTGTGCATTTCTGCAAAACACAATGGAAAACACATAGATGTGAACCTAGACTAAAGAAGTGCTGCAACCATGTGTTCCTATTATTCTATATAATGAGATTGTACAGACTACAGTCCATGACGATGGCACTGTGTTTCGGCGTACAGGTGCAATATTCCACAAGAGAGTTTAGTTACTGCCATTTAAAAAACTAGGGCACGTAAGTAGGTATTTCTTGCATCTTTAGAGGAATTCCAGTAAAAAAAAATTTGCTAAGATTGCTACTTATCCCATACTGCTCAGATTTCATCCTGACAGTCTCAACGTACATGAGACCAACTGGCATGTTCTTGTTGCCACGAGATATTGCTACCCAGTACAATGAGGCCAAGGAAATTATAGAAACTAAGCAGGAAGGATTAGCGAGCAACAGGCCATTCTTGAGCTTTCTAGCATTTACCCACTTGCCCTCTGGAAGATTTACTCCCCTTCATGACCAGGCCATTTTTTGCTATATAGCTTTGCGCTACTTTAATTGACAATTACGTGGCCATGCAACGCTGTACAGACATTAAATTTATGCTGTATGCGGGGGAGGGGCATAAGCATGGCTCTCTATGGCTGTATGAGTTAGGAGCCAACATGCCTGCCAAGCAATGGTGCTCACCTGAACCCTCCATCTGTTCTACCGTGAAGAAGCCTGGGCTTGGGGGAGTCCTGTGTGGCCAGTGGATTGGGGGGGATCGAGAGAGACGTATCGCAGTGGAAGACCCGGAGGCGGCAGCTTGTCAATAGGCTGAGAGGGACCCGGCGGAGAACTGGGAGGATCCACGTGACTGGTCAGGTGACCGGACAGGGAAGCCTGAGAGCCAAGTACCAGAGATAGGAGGACAGAGTCTCTCCACTCCTCACCCTAACGGGCCCCCGGCTTGCCCTCCTCTACAGTGTGGCTGATTTCTTGTGGGGATGCAGAGTGAGGAGTGGTGACAGCGACATATGGTGCAAGAGGGTTGCTTTGCAAAGCCAGCCACGAGACACGAAGCGGAGACCTGAGGCAGAGACTACCAGGCCTGAGAGCCCCCAAACACCAAAAGGAGAGCGTGTGAGACCCAGGAAGAAAACAAAGAACAACAGACGGCCAGCCAGCAGAAGCAGCACATAGGAGTGGGTGAGTTGCCGCAGGAGGTGGTAAATCCCCAAAGTTGAATACCTGTATGCTACTCTGGAGGCTGGGAGATACAAAGGATATAATATCAGTGTTCCTGGGGTCTCAGAGGTGGATGGGACAGTGTATTTAGGACTTTATCTGAAAAGTAAATCCGTACCTAGCACAATAAGCTTTTGTAAATCTTGAGGAATATGAAGAGTAGATCTGTCAAGGGAGGGGGAGCGAAAACTCCTCAATCGAACTTAAAACACAAGTACAATAAAAAAGTACATGCCTTGCACGATAAAAGCCCAGAGGAACAAGCCCTAAAAAGTCATGGAGAGGTAAACTGTACCGGAGGTCAAGTAAGACTATCTTTTGAGGTATCGGATAGAAATCAGTTGAAAGAAACCTCAAAGTCAGAAAGTGAACGGGGAAAAAGAAATATGCAGGAGTAAGAAGCAAGGCTACAAATTCCCCCAAAAGCGGAAATAGCCGATATGTTTGCAAAACTAGAAAACTCCATAAAAAGTGAAATGGCGGTTTTACAACGTGAAATGGGACAAATCCTGTCACGAGTTGAGGAAACGGAAGGAAAATTGGAGAAACAAGCACAAGTAATCAATAAATTAGAAGAGCAAGTGGAGGAAATGAGAAGAGAACAGAGATTGTTAACCTATAAATTAGAAGATCAGGAAAACCAAGACAGAAGGAATAACTTAACGATCAGAGGTTTACCAGAAATGTCTCAAGGAAAAAATCTACGGGACATTATGAGAACATTGTTTAATCCAATAATGGGAAGGAGAGAGACTGAGCAATTGAAAATATAAACAGTGCATAGGATAAGAAGATCCCAACAAGTTACATCAGATACCCCCCTAGGGATGTAATACTAAGGTTCCACCACTATGAAGATAAAGAAATCATTTGGAAGAAGCTATGAGGGATTTCAGATATAAAGTATGGAGAAACAAAGTTGCAAATTTTTGCAGACATAGCAGAGGAGACACTTGCTAGAAGAAGATCTTTGAAACCATTGCTAGATGAGATGGAGAATAAAAATATTCGTTATAATTTGGGATTCCCGGCATGCTTGATCAGGTGGAAGGACAGGAAATCGGCAACACTGAGAATCCCAGAAGGCTTAAATGACTTTTGTGAAAAATTAGAGTTACAGACTTTAGTGGATGGTCCGCAGGGGGGAAAGAGAATATAAGATTAGAAGAGGAGAGATGACAAAGAGTCTCTAAAAAGCGACAGATGGGGGGGGAAAGAGCGGAAATAGGGAAGGTCTGCTTGCTCCAAAATTTGCTTACTTTTACCCCCGCAAAGGATACATAGAGGAAAACAGATAAAATGGGAAGGAATATGACTAATCTTATGACAAACAAACGTAAAAGGACTGAACACTCCAACAAAAAATACATAAGGTTTTAAAGGGAAATATACCAATGATCTATTGAAGTAGTGTTTCTTCAAGAGACACAGATATCCCAGGATTCAAATGTTAAACTATATTCTAAATATCTACCAACTTGGTACTATGCGGACTCACCAATAAGATGGGCAAAAAGGAGTGCCAACAGGTTTTGGAAAAAATATAAAAAATTTACTTTGGAGGAAAAGCTGGTAGGTCCAGCAGGCTGCTATTTTAAAGAGGAAACTTGCAGAGAAAAGAGTGTACATTAGCAAAATATTTATTGCCCTAATAAAAACCCGATAGTATATCTGGAAGGAATA